TGAAATTTAGTTAAAATAATATAATAATGATAATATATATGGAAAAAGTTGAAATTGAATAGTTGAGATTACCAGCATAGGTGATGCTATGATGATATTATATTGCAGGGGAAATAATACGATCGAGTATTGAAGATGAATAGATAAAAACCAAGATGAGTAAATATTTGTATGTGACCTATTTCAAAAACTTCATTCTAGAAGATTCATTACGAAATTTTTGTCATTTTCTAATTTGAATTTTTTTAATTGTTTTCTGAACAATGACTTATGAAATATATTTCTTATCGCTTCCGGTATTATAAAATAAAGTTTTCCAGCAGTGAAAGAGTATGCTCTTATTTCACGACGTCGAGTGTTATACTTGTGATTTCGCACTAGTGTTCTATTTTCACTAAAGTGATATTTTACATTTATACAAAAATAATATAGCTGCCAGAGATCCATAACAGAACATTCATTGTATAATTCGATCTGTTGGAAAGCGTATATTTTTCGAATATATTAGTTTTGAAAATCTCCTTTGAATAATTTCTAATGAATCAAATGTACACGCAAAAGTGCGACCCACGCTGTAATACCGTATCTTAGATGACTTTCCACTAAGGCTGAATATAGTTGAACATCGAACTAAAAAGTTAAAAATTAGTTTTTTAAATAAGCTCAAAACAATAACGAACGAAGAATACTAGTATTATTGTGAAAAAAGTGATGAGCGCTTGATATACAAAAATATGGCACAATAATTCTAGTATTTTTCGTTTGTTATTGTTTTTAAGCTTATTTAAAAAAATATGTTTAGCTTTTTAGTTCGATGTTCTTTAAAAGCGTGTTTTTTAGTTTTATTTCATTTTTTAGTTTCATATGCTATAAAAGCATGTTTTTAGTCTTTTTAAACTATATTTATTTTATCTAAATCAATTAGCAGGATATTGTCTAGAAAAATGACCATTGATATTTTCCGATTCCGAAGAGGGAGCCTGAAAATCAGACAGCAGGCGCACGTGTTAATAAGAAAATACTTTTTTCAAATTAAGAAATACATAAAAAGTGAGATCGAATTATATCAAGGAGGTTACGTATAACGCCATCTGCCCGCGAATAGATCAAGCAATAATGTCGATAATTCTGTCAAATACAGATCCCCAGCTTGAGAATTACAAACAAACAAACATACATACATACATGTGAAGCTAATGAAAGCGTGTTAAAAAAATGGAACAATTCGCAGACATAACACTCTAAAAGAGGGGGGGGGGCAAATCGCGGACATGTGTTTCTAGCTTTCGGCCTAATCATAAATAATTAATTGAAAATGTTTTTTCTGGATGTTCCATATGAGAGCGAAAATTCAAAAATATTACATTGTCTCTTCACACGAAATTTAAAAACTATTTCAAAATTTATAGACATTCATTTACTCTCTTGAAAATTAACAAAATCATGAATGAATAATGGAATCATTGAAAAACAAAATCATCAAAATTACATCATAATTTACGAAACAAGAGTTCACTTATGTATATGAATCGGTTCCA